AAAGTGACATATATGTCATAATGACATGAAAATCTGGTCACAATGTTAGCTTTTTTAAAAGAGCAGTTTATTAAATAAAACATGCTTTAGGTTTCCCTTAAAGACTAACAGAATCTCTCCCCCCTCCAATTTTTTAAGTTAATATGGGGTTGTAAGATTATAGCTAATTTCTAGTTTCTGAATTTTGCTTATTTGTATCTTAGAAACAGCCTACCACAGAAATCTGTTACTTGTTTAAGGTAATAAATGTGTTGTTTTTTTAAGTGCTTAAACAAGAGTCCATGGAAGTAAACATTATCTGTATCAGGCCCTGGCTGGGTAGCTCAGTTGGTTAGAGCATCATCCCCATACGCCAAGGTTGTGGGTTCAATCTCCAGTCAGGGCACATGCAAGAATCAACCAATGAATACAAAATTAGTGGAACAACAAATCAATGTTTCTCTCTCTCTCTCTCTCTCTCTCAAATCAATCAGTTAAAAATCTGAAAAAGATTATCTATCACTACTGAATTATGCCCCCTTTGGGTCAATATGTCAAGAGACATTCTGTTTGCAAAGATGATTTTTGAGGGGTGGGAATCTGGTGGTCCCTGGGAGTCCGGGGTGGATGTTAGGGGTCTGGAAGGGCAAGTCTGGCCTGGAAAGGTCAGGAGCAAGAGGCTCCCTGGGGAGAGAAGCCGCCCCCATCTGCGTGCAGGTGGAGCCTGGCCGGCAACCTGGAGGAGCGATGATTCTGGGGCAGTGTGTGCAGGCCGGGCCCGGCCAGGGCCCCTGACTCACTGAGACCATCCTGCCCTCGGAGGGCATGAAGGCGGGCCGGTTGCTGAGGCGCAGCTTGGTCTGCAGCGTGTTGAAGTTGATCTCCAGCTGGCACTTCTCCTGCACCTTGGGTGGCTTGTGCAGGCGCCGGTAGTCGCGGAAGTCCTCCAGCTTCTGCTGCATGGCCTGCATGGTGTTCTCGGGCGCCCGGTTCTCCAGCCACGGGATGGTGCGGCGGATCCACTCCAGCAGCTGGGGGCGGTCAGGGCGTGAAGATGCAGGAGGGCGGGAGGGACAAGGGCCGGCGCCCCTCTCCTCCGAAGTCCCTCCCACACAGGAGGCGCTGGCAAGTGTCTCTCCCAACAGCACACTTTTCCCAACTACCCTCTAGGCCACGCCCAGGCCGAGGGCAGGTTCCAGGCCGTTCCCTCTGAGAACCTGGGCTTCATGAACCCTGGCCACTGAGGTATGTTAACTCCCAGCCGGCACCACAGCCTCCCTGCTCTGCCCAGGGAAGAACCAGACCTGGGGGAAGACGGCTCGACTAAGAGCAGGAGACTGAGTTCTGGTTCTAGGTCTACTGCTTGGCCGGGCCTCAGTTTCCTCGTCTATACCATGGACAGGGTTAACCCTTGTCCCCTGAGGTCCTTGATCATGACCTTCTAGGATTCTAGAATGTGGTCCCTGACACAAAAGAGAACAACTGGCTCCTGGGGCACCGGCAGGACACGGCCTGGGTTGTTTCCCTTGACGTGAGGGAGGACAGTGGAGGTGGGGACAGGACATACACTGATCACCTGCAAGGTGCCAGGCACGCCTCCCAAACTAAATCACCTGAACAATCCTGCGGGGTTGAGGGCTATGGGTCTCCACCCACCCCCGGTTATAGAGGAGGTGACCAAGGCCCTGGAGGCTATGTGACTTGCCAAGGTCACCAGCTGGAATGGTGAGCAGTGACCATCCCCAGGCACTTGGGCCCAGGAACTTGGGGTCCTGCGATGCTGGAGAGCCGATGCATCAAGGGGCGGGGCTGAGCTGTTCAGAAAGCTGACTGCTTTTAAGGAAGAAGCAGGTGAAACCTTAAAACTCAAATGTGGTCAATGGCAGAAGAGCAAAGCCGGCCCTGCCCCTTCCTGTGCCCTGGGTGGGCCCAGCCATGAAGCCAGCCTAAGTACACCCATCTATCCGCAGCCCCTACCCCCAGCACCAGACCTGCTCCTCTTCCAGTTTAAGTGACACTCACAGAACAGATACCAGCTGGAAAGCCTCTGAGACCCCCTTGCTCAAGTGAGAAAACCAAGGCCCACAGAGGTGAAGGGATCGCCCAGGCTCACTGTTGGCCACAGGAAAAGCTGAGGACTCTCTTGCTCTCTGAAGCCCAGAGATTGGCCCCTGAGCCCCTCTCTGCTTGTGGGAGGGCAGAGAGGAGCCCACACTTCCCGGGGCAGCTGTGCTGGGGTCTCGGACTACACCCAGCCTGGGACTGTGCTCCGGGGATGGATTTGAAGGTACAGGTTCTGGGGCTCCCTCCTCCCTTGGGGTGGGGTGGCAGGGCCTTGCTGGGGCCAGGGAACCCATGGGTACCCACATCACTGGCCAGCTTCTCGTAGTCTTCCATGAGCTGTTCATTCTCCTGGTTGACGGCCAGCACCTTGCAGATACGATTGGCTGCTGTCTCCGCCTGGCAACAGGACAAAGGGGCACGGTCAGCCACTAGCAGCAGGAGCACCTGGGGCGCACGGGCGCCGACAACGCCCCTCCCACCCAGCCAGCTCCCGAGACTTCGAGTTCACCACCTCACCACCCTCTCTGCCAGCCCAGGCTCAGTCCCATGGGTCAGGGATGCTGGCTAGAGGTCCTGGTGGCTGACCTAGGCCCCTGGAGAAGGGCCTGAGTTTGAGACCCAACAAACACGTTGGAAAGAAACTAACCCGCTGACTAATACAATCAAAAGGCTCAGGCCAGGAGGCGAGGTGATTTCATGCCCATCCTGGAATTCCAAGTGCAGGCCCTGGATCCCAAGGCTCGGGATCCCAGGCTGGATTTGCCAGGATCTTGGGAGATACCGGAATTCAAACCGGGGAGACCTGGAGGAAGTGCGGACTGAGAAGCCCTGGGCCTCCCAGGGTCCCTGCAGAGCCTCCCAAGGCTCCTGGCCCGAAGTTCAAAGCGCTTTAGAGAGAACAGAAGGACCCACGACGGCACAAAGGGCAAGACTTCGGATGAGCTCAGCTTGAGCAGGACGCCCAGGAGGAGGCCTGGCACCTCTGGAAGCTAAGCACACACGGCACGGAGAGCTGGGCACGCAGACACCCGCGTGGGCTCGGCAGCCGGAGGAACGAAAAGGCCTGAATGGCAACCACACCCAAAGGCCCAGGGACCCGGGGAGACGCTGCCTCCTCCGGCCATGGGGGGCACTGTGCACCTTGCACCGGCAGGGCCAGGCGCTCCTAACACGCTCCGCTCACGAGATCTTTTTAATTCAGCTGTGTTCTTGTGCGAGGGAGGGGAACGCAAAGCCTTTTGGGGGCCCTGGGATAGAAAGGAAGACAGCCTGTGAGAAGACAGATAAGCATCGTGTGGCCCGAGAGAAGTGTGACCCTGCTGATGGACGACAAAGGCATAAGGGTTGTAGAAAGATGGGGCCTCACAACCGATTGATGAACAAGACAAAATGGGTTTCAGTGCAGCAAGACAGACTGAGGCTAGGCATAAGGAAGAACTTCCTGAGAATGAGGGAGGAATTGGAATTGGGAAGGAATGACTAAGAAAATGTAAATGTTTTTTCCTTGCAGAACTTTTGAAATACGACACACGCCCACTAAACCACATGACCTATAGGGGACTGTGCTGGGATGTGTGTGTGAGGGGGCAGAGTGAGAGCATCACAAATGTCCTTTCAAGCTCAAAGTCAAGACTGCACCCTCCAGGGCGAGCTGTCAGCGCAGGGGTGGGGGTGGGGGATGCTGGGGGCAGCGGGGGAGCCTCCCCCAGGAGGGAATGGTCAGAGGGGGAGTTAAGGGCCCTCTGGTCTCAAGACACTGAGGGAGGAAAAGAAAAAGAAACTAAGAGGAGTCACATCCTAGACCTCATCCCCTGCCTCCCCACCCAACTCTGTGCACTTCTCACACAAAACTCCCGTTTGGTCGTCTTTCCTTTGGAGGGACAACAAGTACCCTTGGGGAATCCCAAGAGCTGACAAAGAGGGAAATTCCTTCCTGGAGCCTGTCCCAGAAGATGGGGCCCCGGGGACCCCTGTGAGACAGCAGGGCCCCGGGAACCAGGCTGGCATGCCCACAGGCTGGCTGGGGCAGCAATCTGCCTGAAGCCACTGGGGCCACCTGGAGGGCCAGGGCAGGCGACCCGAGGGAGGACAGTCCTCTGCTCTGTGCTGATGGGTGAGAACTCGGGGAGCTACGCAGACCCCTGCCCAGAGTGCTGACCAGGCAGGAAAGGAAGCATCGGGGGTTAGGGGCCACTCATCATAGGCAAACAGCAGCCGCCGCTGTGGTATTTCAGGGATAACGCTCCCCCTTAACCTCGTATCCTCCTCATTCATCTTGAAACCCTGGGCTCCAGTTATAAACTTCATGTGTCCGTTTATCACGCGGGTAGACTGAGCGATGCCTGCGTTTGTAGGGTTTTGGGAGACAGGCCCTAGGAGCCTCAGGAGCCTTGCCCATCCCTCAGAGCCTGTTGGCGATTCCGGAGTCAAAGGGGGCTCCTTTTGGACGAAGTCTGGGGGAGTTCCCATGTGGGCCTCCTGGGGACTTTTTACAAGGCCCAAGCCCTCCTCTCAGCCTGCCCCACTAAGAAAACCCATCACTCTAACCAGGAAGCCTGCCTCTGGGAACAAAGCATGAACATCATGGAACAAAAAGGGCCTTTCTTTTGAAAAGGCAATAGCCCACCCGCAAACTTTGGTCTCCCCCTTAAGGGACAGCCCACCCCCCCCCCCCCCCCCCCCCCACCACCCCCCG